ACAATAGCAAGAACCTGGAAGCAACCATGCTGCCCATCAAAAGAGGACTGGATTAAAGAATCCTGATTTTAATCAAGGTTTTTTTTTTTTTTTTTTTTGAGTCAGAGTCTGTCACCCAGGCTAGAGTGTGGTGGTACAATGACGCTCACCACAGCCTCGACCTGCTGGGCTCAGGCAGTCTTTCAGCTTCAGCATCCCAATCTGGGATTACAGGTGCAGGCCACCATGTCCAACTCATTTTTTGACTTATAGTAGAGATGAGGTCTCACCCTGTTGGCTCAGGCTGGTCTTGAACCCCTGGGCTCAGGTGATCCTCTCGCCTCTACCTCCCAAAGTGCTGGGATCACAGGCGTGAGCCACTGTGCCTAGCTAATTATTTTTTATTTTATTTTTTATTGTAGAGACAGAGTCTTGCCAAGTTGCCCAGGCTGGTCTCGAACCCCTGAGCTCAGGCGATCCTCCCACCTCACATTCCAAAGTCCTAGGATTACAGGCGTGACCCAGGGCACCCGACATAATCTTATGTGTTTTAAGGGAGGTTCTCAGTATTACCTTGGAAAAATAATCCTGATTGCTTCAAATCAACCATGTCAATCCCTTTTCCCAGTCTGTGATTGGCTTAGGGAGGGAAATGTGGTCCAATTCTGTCCAATAAGAATGAAGGAAATTCTGCGGGCTTGGTTTTTGGGAAAGCCTTATCCTTCTCTAAGGATCCTGAGGTCGATGATCCCACACAAGGCAGAACCAGGAGGAGCAGGAGACATGGGACCGGAGCCCAGCATCCTTTGTCTGGAGCTGCCCATACGGATTCTTGCTGTATGCGGTTAAAACTTGACTTTTTAAGAAAATCTTCTCTTACTCATTGTCAAAAGCAGCTTAACTAGCAGCAATAGTTTGGAATATGTACCCAAGATCACTCCTTAGTTAAAATTCTGCTTTTATCTGGATTTTAAAAATATATATTCCAAGGTGGGTGCAATGGTTTTCACCTGTAATCCCAGTGTTTGGGAGGCTGAAGCCGGAGGACTGCTTGAGTCCAGGAGTTCAAGACCAACCTGTAAAAAATAAATTCAGATTTGAATTATATCTGAACATGTCAGTACTATCTGATCCACACACCCCGGGCACCCCAGCCTTTGTGGAATATCTCCTAACATTGTTGTGAGTCCTTGTAAATGGCTGGGCATGAGGGAGAAGATGATGATGACAGTTGCCATTATAATTGTTTTTTATTCATGTGTTTTTATTGATTGTTTACCCGACAGCCACTTCTCACCCTCTCCTACCTGTTGGGAGGGACTGTACCCCATAAGAGAGATGGTCCAGAAACTCACTTTCCCAGCTTGTCTTGAAGCTGGAGTGTGGGCATTGGGAGCTCTCCAATGAGTGGTCATTGAGGCCCAAAGATAAGTCTGGGAGGGAGGGAGGGAGGGGAGAAAGTCCTGAGGGGAGGAGGGAGTGGATTCAGGAAAAGACTTTTTTCTTAATGAAAAGAGTTCTGCCAGCAGCTTGTCTCCTTCCTGACTTTTGTGGTGGTGTGTGAGGATGTGATGGCCAGGACTGTGGCAGCCATTTTACACCCATGAGATTACAAGCCTGAGGAGAAAGCTGACATGCTTTCTCCCTCTATATGGAATACAAGCTCAAGGAAGGCAGAGTTTGTGTGTGTGTGTGTGTGTGTGTGTGTGTGTGTCTGTGTGTCTGTGTGTGTGTGTGTGTGTGTGTGTGTCTGTTTTGTTTATTTCTCTATCCCAAGTGTCTGTAATATTAGCTGGCTCTCATAGATGCTCATAGCTAAATAAACAGATGGATGGATGGCGGCAGAGATAGAGAAGAAAGATGGCTCCCTAATGACAGCATTTAGTCATCACACCAACCACATTAGTCTTCTCTTTGGGCTTGTTGTTATGTAAAACACTAAGTACTCTTATTACTTACCCAACTTTTTCGTTGGGTGTTTTGCTACTAAGAGAATTCCCTAATGTAATTCCTTTTTTTTTTTGAGTCTGAATCTCACTTTGTCACCCAGACTGGAGTGCAGTGGCATGCTCATGGCCACCGCAGCCTCAACCTGCTGGGCTCAGGCGCTCCCTCTGCTTCAGCCTCCAGAGTAGCTGGGACTACAGACCCAAGCCACCATGCCTGGCTAAATCTTTTTTTTAAATTTAGAGACAAGCTCTCGTCATGTTTCCCAGGTTGATCTTGAACTACTGGGCTCAAGCGATCCTCTTGCCTCGGCCTTCCAAAGTGCTGGGATTACAGGCCTGAGCCACCACGCCCAGCCTCAGAGACGTTTTATTTCTGCTTCTGTGAGGCATTTGTTCAGTGCCCCAGGTGTTCACGGAACTAGTCACTTTTCATCCTGTGGGTCTCAACTCAAGGGCCACCTCGGGGGAACCCTTCATATTAGCGACAGTGGTTGCTGTAAGAAATCACAACAAATTTAGTATCTTAGAACAGCTCGTATTTATTCTCTTACAGTTCTAGAGGTCAGAAATCCAAAATGGTTCTCACAGTGCAGAATTCAAGGTGTCAGACCAGGCACGATGGCTCACCCCCGTAATCAGCACTTTGGGAGGCAAAGGTGGGAGGATTTCTTGGGTCCAGGAGTTCTAGTCTGGACAACATAGGGAGACCTTATCTCTACAAAAAAAATCAATAAAATAAGCTGTTCGTGGTGGTGCGCATCTGTAGTACTAGCTACTCGGGAGGCTGAGGTGGGAGGATTGCCTGAGCCCAGGAGGTCGAGGTTGCAGTGAGCTGTGATCCTGCCACCACACTCCAGCCTGGGTGACAGAGTGAGACTCCAACTGGAAAAAAAATAAAGGTTCCAGGCATCTGGAGATCGTCTGTAGTCTTGGGAACATGGTCCCTCCTCCATCTTCAAAACCAGCTGTGTGGTGTCTTCTAGTCTGTCTTCTGACTCTGACCTTCCAACCTCTCTCTTATAAGGACTCTGTGGCCCTATGCCCCCCACCCCCAGATAAGCCAGGATCATCTCCTCATCTCAAGACCCTTATCTTAATCACACCTGAAAATCCCCTTCCTACTTTAGGTAACATATGCTCGGGTTCCAGGAATCAGGATGAGGACATCTTGGGAGTGGGGGTGTGATGCCACCTCCCACCTCCTCCTTGGCCATCCCATATACAGAGCCTCCCCCCGCCCCAGCATTCCTTCTCTTTCCCGGTGCCCTGCTCTCATTTGATTCCTGTCATTTACATCATTTTTGTTTTTGAGACAGGGTCTTGCTCTGTTACTCAGGCTGGAGTGCAGTGGCTCGATCACGGCTCACCACAGCCTGGACCCCTGGGCTCAGGTGATCCTCCTGCCTCGACCTCCCAATGTGCTGGGCTTACCAGTGTGAGCCACCAGGCCCAGCCATTTACATCATTATTATAGTATGTATTTATGTACCTCTGTATCACTCCTAGAACATGACTCCATGAGGCAGCATTTTTTTTTTTTTGGTCTGTTTTTATCTGTTTTGCCCCATACTGTATCCACTGGTACAAAATAGCTGCTCAATCGATATTTTTGAAGAAGGTGAAATGCGTCTTCTAATAGACCAAACACAGTAGCCCCGAGAGGGGCCACGTCTTGTTCACGGCCACCCGGCGCAGGAAGGAGACACACACAGGGACCACTTCTCGTCAGTCGGTTTATTTTGGGACTGAATTTGGGTCACCGCTGCAGAGACAGGACAGACCCTGGGCTTGAGGACAGAAGGGCTGGGGAGACTGAGAGGCAGCCTCCACACTGGTCATTCCGGGAACTTCCCCCAGAGTTCAGGATCAGTTCACTGTCGGGAAGGGGATCCTGATTCCAGGACACTTGGGGTGGGGCTGGTGAGACTGACGTCCTCAGTGTCTTTGGGAAGATATGGGGTCTGGAAGGAGTGTTGGGGTCCCCACAGGGGGAGAAGGATGCCCGCAGCTGGGTTCTGGGATGACTCATGAATTGGCCTGGATGGTGTCATGGATCCATTTGGTGAACTGACAGAGGTTGGTGTAGACGCCGGGTTTGTTGGGCTGGCCACAGGGGTAATCTCCCCAGGACACCAGTCCCTGCAAGGCGCCATTGCAGATCACGGGGCCCCCAGAATCGCCCTGTCGGGGAGGAAGGGAGGCATGAGAGAGGCAGAGAGATGGCGGGGGTGGGGTGGGCGGAACACAGAGTCCCAGAGACACATAGATGGAAAATGACCAGGACAGCAGGGGACAGACACGCAGAGGTGGAAAGTCCAGAGATGAGGACACGCAGAAAAAGACAGAGATGCAGGCGAAGAGAGAGACAGAGAGGGAGAATGTTACTAATATTTTATCCCAAGTCTAACCTTTATTTTATAAAATGTATTATATTTTAGAGACAGAATCTCACTCTGCCTCCCAGGCTTGAGTGCCATGGCGGGATCATTGCTCACTGTAGCCTTGAATTCCTGGGCTCAAGCGATCCTCCCGCCTCAGCCTCCTGAGTCACTGGGTCTACAAGGCATGCAACACCACACCTGACTAGTTTTTTGTTTTTTTAGAGACAGGGTCTTACTATGTTGTCCAGCCTGGTCTGGAACTCATGGGCTCTATCGATCCTCCTGCCTCAGCCTCCCAAAGTGTTAGGATTACAGGCATGAGCCACTGCACATGGCCTCAGCCTTCTTGTGGTTTAATTTTTCTCGTTTTTTTTGTTCAATATCCCTGTGACTTTCCTTGAGATGCCATTAACTGCTCTGAGCCTTGGCTCTCAGTCTGTCAAATAGGGCTAATAATAATGGTGACATGAGTACATTAGTTGGTGCATCTAACTACTTAAAACACTGTGCAGTGATTAGGTAGCTCTGATAATAATGATAATAATAACCTATCATTATTATACTACTAGTATTAATACTGCTGTGGTTGTTATTATTTCCTGCTTGTAACTTTTAGTGGTCACACCCAGGCCACATGCTGGTATGAAAAAGCACTTTGAGATCTGGAAGAGCAGGACGTAGCCTTGGCTACAGAAAGGGTAAATGGTTTAAAATGCTGCCATTTGAATTAGATGTGCTTTCTCCCCTCCCCCTCCCCCTCATCTTTATACAGTGCACAACCTGTCCAACCATACAAAACAGCCTTGTTCTCTCCCTCTAAACCTGTGCTGTCTAGTACCATAGCTGCTCGCCACAGGTGACTGTTGAACACCTGAAACATGGCTAGTTCAAACTGACAGGTTGCTATCAGTGGCTTTCAGAAACTTAACATGAAAAAATAATGTAAAATAGCTCATTAATAATTGTTTTATATTACTTACCCTTTGAAATGATTGTATTTGAGATACATTAGGTTAAATAAATGATGTTATTACAGTTAACTTCACTTGTTTCTTACTAAAATGTGGTTACTAGAGATTTCTTTTTTTAAGTTAGAGTCTCACTCTGTCGCCCAGGTTGGAGTGCAGTGACATGATCATGGCTCACCATTGCCTTGAACTCCTGGGCTCAGGCGATCCTTCTGCCTCAGCCTCCCAAGTGCTTGGATTATGGGAGCATGCCTTGGGATTTCAGGCATATGCCACCACACTTGGCTAATTTTTTTATTTTTGGTAGAGACAAGGTCTCACTCTGCTGCCCAGGCTGGCCTCAAACTCCTGGGCTCAAGTAATCCTTCCACCTTGGCCTCCCAAAGTGCTGGAGTTACAGGCGTGAGCCACCATGCCCGGCCCTGACCATTTTATTTTATTTTATTTTTAACTTAGAAAGCAGGATTTATTAAAAGGACAGGAAAGCTCCCACTGTGGGAGGAGACCCGAAGGGGTTGCCTGGCCCTGACCATTTTAAATGGCATACTCAACTCATGTTATATTTCTTTTTAAAAAAATATTTATGATGTTTATTTTTTAATTTTTCATTTTTCGAGTTGGAGTCTCACTCTGTCACCCAGACTGGAGTGCCGTGGCACCCTCATGGCCACCGCAGGCTCGACCTGCTGGACTCCAGCGATCCTTCCGCCTCAGCCTTCCAAGTAGCCAGAACTACAGGTGTGCACTACCATGCCTGGTTAATTTTTTTTTTTTTTTTTAGTGTAGAGACGAGGTCTCGCCAAATTGCCCAGGCTGGTCTCTAACCTGCGGGCTCAGACAATTCATTCACCTCGGCCTCCCAAAGTGCTGGGATTACAGGTTACATTATGTTTCTATTCACCTTCCTTTGAGAACAGATGTCCTAACTTTGGTGATTGCTGGACTCTCAGAACCTACCAAAGCTCCTGGTTATGAGTTGGCACTGCTGTAAAGGGAGAGATCTCGGATCCTTACCTGGCAGGAGTCTCTGCCCACCTGGTCGCCGGCACAGAACATGGTGTTATCTATCTGTCCTGGGTAGGCATCCCTGCACCTGTCCTGACTTAGCACGGTGATATTCAGACACTGGAGAGCCTTAGGGAAGTGCACTGTAGAACAAGAACATGGTGAGGGGTGGAGCGAGATGTGGAGGGGCGGAGATGGGCAAGCATCCCGAGGAACCCAGACACTCACCTTTGGGGCTGCTGGTGGTCCCCCAGCCAGACACCAAGCACTTGGTCCCAGCAGAGGGACAACGGGAGGAGATGTTGACAGGTCTGACATCCTGTGTGACGCGGATTTTTCTGTTGAGTTTGATGAGCATGAGGTCGTTGGAGTGGCTGGGGTGGGAGTAGCCAGGGTGCGGGATGGATTTGACCCCTTGGAATGTCTGCTGCCCAGATTCAAACATGGGTGACAGAGACGGGTGGCCAAGACGGACTCTGAAACCCCTGAGGAAGATAGTGCGGGTCACCACCAGTCTGATGCCTGTCCTAGTGTTCATGGCCAGTTCTGACCCCACACCTAGTCCCAGCCCACCAAGTCCCAAACCATACCAGCTGCAGTTAGGTCCTCAGCCCCAGGCCTCTCTCCACCCCCATCACGACTCCAACCCTATTCCCATCCCATCTCTAGCCCTAACCCCAAACCCGACCCTCTCACCACCGAGAAGCCATCAGCACGAGCATCTCAAGCACAAATCCCACCACCGCCAACCCCACCCAAACCTCCGTTCCAGCCCTATCCCTACTCCATTTTCACTTCCACCCCATCCCAGTCATTGTGCACTCCAGTTCTAGAGCCGGCCCTGATTCCATCTCCAATCCAATCATCGATCACCGTCACTTCTAGAGCCAATTCTAACTCCATCATCATCCCAACCATCTCTCACCCCCAAATCTAAAGCCAGCCCTAATTCCATCTCCATCCCTGTCATCACTCGACCCAATTCTAGAGCCAGCCCTAATTCCGTCTTCATCCCAATCATCGCTCAACCCCACTTCTAGAGCCAACCTTAATTCCATCATCATCCCAATCATGGCTCACCCCCAGTTCTGTAGCAAACCTGAATTCCATCTCCATCCCAATCATCCCTCACTCCCACTTCTGGAGCCAGTCCTCATCCTATCTTCATCCCAATCATCCCTCACTCCCACTTCTGGAGCCAACCCTAATTCCATCTCCACTCCAGTTATCACTCACCCCCACTTCTCGAGCCAGCCCCGATTCCACTTCCATCCCCATCATTGCTTACCCTCACGTCTAGAGCAAACTCTAATTCCATCCCCATCCTAATCGCACCTCACCCCCAATTCTAGAGGCAGTTCTAATTCCATCTCCATCCCATTTGTTGCGCATCCCCCTTCTGGAGCCAACTCGAATTCCATCTCCATCCCATTCATCACTCCGCCCCAATTCTAGAGCCAACCTTAATCCCATCACCACCCCAAGCATTGCTCACCCCCAATCCTAGAACAGTTCCTGATTCCATCTCCATCCCAATCATCATTCACCCCCCAGTTCTAGAGCCAACCCTCATTCCATCTCCATCCCAGTCATGGGCACGCCCAGATCTAGAGCCAACCCTGATTCCGTCTTCATCACAGTCATTGTGCACCCCACTTTCTAGAGCCCATTCTAATTCCATCTCCATCCCAGTCACCACTCACCCCCACTTCTAGAGCGATCCCTAATTCCACCTCCATCCCAGTTATCACTCAATCCCAATTCTAGGGCAAATGCTAATTCCCTCTCCATGCTAATCACGCCACCTCAGTCATCACTCAACCCCAATTCTAGAACCAGCCCTCGTTCCATCTCCATCCCAGTCATCACTGGTCCCCACTTCTAGAGCAAAGCCTAATTCCATTCATCACTCACCCCCAATTCTAGAGCCAGCCCTCGTTCCATCTCCATCCCAATCACTGCTCATCCTCATTTCTAGAGCCAACCCTCATTCCGTCTCCATCCCAGTCATCACTGGTTCCCACTTCTAGAGCCAGCCCTAATTGTATCTCCATCCCATGCATCACACATCTCCACTCCTAGAGCCAACCCTCATTCCCTCTCCATTCCCAGTCATCACTTACCCCCAGTTCTAGAGCCAGCCCTAATTCCATCTCCATGCCAACCATTGTACATCCCCACTTCTAGAGCAGACCCTAACTCCATCTCCATCCCAGTCATCACCCACCCTCAGTTCTAGAGCCAACCCTCATTCCATCTCCATCCCAAATCATCAACATACATATGCCCAGCCCCAACCCAATTTTATCCCCAGCCCAAATCCTCTCCCCACCCCTAAATCATAAGCATTTGCAATCTCAATCCCAAACCAGCTGTTTCCGATGATAAATTCAGTCATCTCTGATCCCCTGAACTCATCCCAAGCCTGTCTTCAGCCCCATGTCTATTTCTAATCCCAATCCTGCCCCTGGTCCCCTCCCAGCCACATAGTCATCCCCACCCCTCCCCCAATTTTAAAGCCAATCCTAATCCCACCTCCCCATTCCAGACCATGCAACGTGTATGTTCCTAATCCCAAATCCAGCCCATCCCTAACCCCATCGGCGACCATGACCCTTCCATATCTAAGCCCATCATCCACCACAACCATCCTCCCCCATCTCAACACATCTCCGGCCACAACCCTCCCCCATCCAACCACATCCCCCACACGACCCTTCCCCATCCCACCTCATCCACATCATGACCCTCCCCATTCAACCTCATCCCCATCATAGCCCTCCCCCATCCAGCCCCATCCCCTACCACGACCCTCCCCGTGCAGCCTAATTCCTACAACGATCCTCCCCCCCAACCTCATCTCCCACCATGACCCTCCCCCATCTAACCTTATCCCCACCACGGCCTCCCCCTCCAACCTCATCCCCTACCGTGACCCTCCCCATCTAACCCCATCCCCATCACGGTCCTCCCCCATTTAGCCTCATGCTCTACCACGACCCTCCCCATCCAACCTCACGACCCGCCCCCATCCAACCTCATCCCCATCACGACCCTCCCTCACCCCGTCTCATCCCTTGCCACGACCTCTCTCCAGTCTAACCTCATCCCCACCCCACTCTCCTCAATTCCATCTTTTATCCCATCCCCAATCCACCCCAACCAGCCCGACCCTCACCTCCATGTCTCCCGCACCCGCCTTTCCCCTCTCTCTGTCCCCTGGTCTCGGGGCCCCCACTCACTTACTTCTTCCTGCAGTGGGCGGCCGTGAGCAGCCACTGAGGATGAATCAACACAGACCCGCAGTAGAGCTGGTTGGGCCCCAGCAGCAGCGCGCCCTGCCACGGCTGGGTGTGCTTCTTGCAGTCAGACCCGTTTAGGATGCGGCTGCTGCTGTTGTCGGACCGGCTGCTGTCGTCGGACCGGCTGTCCTCCCGGGCCCCACCTTCGAGGTCCCGGTTGCTCCCAGAGGTTCCGGTGGCAGAGGGGTTGTTGCAGGAAACATCATTTGCAAGCACAGGCTCTGGGGGCAGAAAGAGAGCAGGGAGAGGCTGAGGGGCGGAGCTTGGCGACAGGGGGCGGGGCTTAGACTCAGGGGGCGGAGCTATCTAGAGGGTGTCTGGCCTTGGAAAAGCGCTTATGCCGAGGGGGCGTGGTCGGGGACTTAGAGGCGGGGTCGAGGCTATGGAGGCGGAGCCTTGGAGAGTAAGCGTGGGCCCACTGAGGGCTTCAGGACTCTAACTGTACCTCGCGGGCTCCTTGGATTGGCTAGAACTAAGTGAGTGGGACCAGAGGAGGATGAAATTGGGTCCAGGAGGTTCTGGGACAACCTCAGGGGCAGAGCCGGGGGTATGGGGATGGAGCCTCGGGATGAAGCAGAGACCAGGGCTTTAGGGATGGGACCTGGTCTCAAGAAGTGGGGTCAGGCCTCAGTGAGTGGGGTCAGGGCTGGAGGCAGCACAGCCTGAGATGGAAGAAGGGTTTGGAATCGACTTGAGTAGGGTCAAGGTCAGGGTCGCGTGGTGGGGAGGGCTATCCTTTAAAGAGTCCTGACTTTGGAAGGGGAGGTGGGTTCTAAGCTCTGGGAACTGCCCACAGCACAGGGGGTGGAGCCTGGCAGAAAGGGGCGGGCCTCAGAGGTCCCTCTCTCTGGGCTGGACTCCAGAGAGAAGTCTGGCTTAGGGACGTGGCTGAGGAAAGAGGGCGGGGTCAGAGCTCATGGGCGGAGCTAGGGTTGGAGGAACAGGACCCGGGAAGGGCTCGGCTGGGGGGCCGGTGGAGGGGGAGAGCAGGGCTGGTTTTCTGACTTCTCAGACACAAATGTGCCTCCTGGATCCTCCTGCCAATTCATCCTCTTCCCACACACAGACCTGCAGATACAGAGCCTCCACTCCATCATCATTGCCTGCGCTCATTCACTGAGTCCTAGTCTTGCTGGGGGCCCAGAGAAGTGAAGCCTTGGCGCCACTGACATTCACGGACATATTCCTAGGCCCACACACACAATGCTGCCACAGCCAAGCACATACATGCTCCGCAGACAGGCACCTGTTGCCTCTACAGGTCCAGCTAGTGGTGCAGTCCCATCTCGTGGACCCCACACTCCCCAGGACAGCCTTGCAAGACCTCACACACCCATCCACATTGTCTCAGTGACATGCACGGGTGCTCGTGTATGCACGGATGCAAAGGCTGCCACAGACTTTCCTGGACACAGGCACATTAGCACAGTGACAAGATTATGTTCACTGGACCCCTCCCGTGCCCAGCATGGCAGGTGCAAGTTGGTCACTCAGTATCCACCATCTTGCAGACACCATCTCACAGAGACAGCCATTTCTGCACATGCAGCCCTTCCAGGCAGGGATGAGACCTCCAGCCACACAGCTGCACTGTCACACGCATGGTGGCATTTGCACAGCCTTACAAAAATACTGTCACCACCACACAGAGTCTCAAGCAGTCACATGGTCAAAAATCTCGGCACCCGATATGCGGCACCCAGCCACAATCACACAATCACAAATGGCTATCCGCAATCATACACTGTCCTACATTTTCATGGTGATGACCACTTTTGTTCCACACCATCGGATGACACAGGGACAGGAACCCCAGGAACTTGCAATCCTACACAAAGTCAGACAACCTGTCACGGCCAAACACAGAGTAAACATCCCCAGTGCCAAACACATTCACCCACATAGTTGGGAACCACACACAGTCTTAAGTGCGCACACACCCAGTCACACAATCACACACTCCGCCTTGAAAGGACAGGTCCACCTGGCACACACGGTCCCTCGATAATGGGACCGTGGAAGTCACACAAACATATAGGCAAACACACAACCACAAATACAGACACAGGCTCACATTCACGCAGTCCTGGGGTCGTATTCAGTCTCAGATGGTACACCAGGGGACAGGAACTCCAGTGCCACATAGACAGTCCCTCCCCCACATACAGGGGTTCTGGTTACCTGTGATGCCCAGAAGCAAGGCTGTGATCAGAGCTGGGAGCATCCACATCCAAGGGGTTCCTGCTGTTGTCATCGCTGCTGTACCTGGTTGGGAGGCAGGCGTCGGGGTGGGGAGGCCCAGGCCCTTCTGGGAGCCCTTAGCCACTTCCCCTGCCTCCCCCACCTCATTCCCCTTGAGAGTGATCACAAGGATGTTGCTGAGTTGAGACTCTGGTGGTACAGAGTGCAGAGGAGAGCCTAGCAGCTCCAGTTGGGGGAAGAGGGACAGCTCCAGACCCACTTCTCCCTCCCCACCTGCTGAGCCCCCCTCCCTGACCTCACCTGCCTCGTCCTTGGGGTAGGGGGTCAGGGACCTGCTCCCAGCTCAGCTGCCGACCTCTCAGGCCTGTGCCTTCCTGCCGCCTCCTCCTGGGCTCCAGTTCTGGGCACCGGGCCTGGGTTATAACCACCCACTGCTCCCTGGGGCACATTCCCAGGAAGTGAGGTGCCCTGTCGGGCCTTGGCAATCACTCCTCCCGCTCCCCCAGCCTCCACCCCCAGAGCACCCCCCACCCAGTTCTGAATGCCACGCCCTCCCTCCCTGGCCCAGAGGATGGGGAGGGGTCTCTGGAAGTCAGGCCAGGCCCACCTCTGCCTCCCCTGGCCTCCGGAATCTGGCTTCTCACCAGCTCTGGGTCGCTCCTTTTGGTGCTGGGATTTATTTATCTCTTCCTTCCTTCCTTCTTTCCTTCCTTCCTTCCTTCTTGTGCAGTTTTCTGATTCCACCTCTCTCTGTGTCCGTCTTCTCTCCTCTTTCCATCTTTGTCTCTGTGGTACCCGCCCAGTCTTCTGAGTCTCAGCATCTGGTCCCCACTTCATGCTTGTCTGTCTGTCTGTCTCTCTCTCTTTCTGTCTCTGTCTGTCTGTCGGTGTCTTTCTCTATGTCTTTTACAGCTTCTGAGTATCTGTCTCTCTGTGTCACTGTCTCTGCCTTGGGACCCCTGTTTCTCTCATGTCACTGTCTCTCTGTTCCTCCCTTTCTATGTCTGTTATTTTCTTTTTTTGGTGATTCTGAATGATTCATTTGTCAAATATGCCTTTAATTTTCTTTTACTTCACCTCTGCTTTCTTGTTTACAGTTTTTTTTTTTTTAGGTATAACAGGTTCAATCAACTGAGCATATTTACAGTGTATAATCTCATGACTTTTGACACATGTCAAACTCTCACCATAATCAAGATAATGGACATAGCTGTCACCCCCAAGACTGTCCTCCTGCCCCTTGTGCGTGTCTGGAATTCTCTGTTGATCTCTGTCCTTACAATCTGTGTCTCTCTTTGCATCTCTCCCTATCTTAGCCCCCTCTTTTTTCTGATTTTTCTCAGCCTCTCTGTGTTTTTTGGGTCTGTTTTATTCTGTCCCTTTCTTCCTGTCTCTCTGGCTCTGTCTGTCTCTCTGTCTCTGTCTCTGTCTCTCTCTTTCTGTCTCTGACTATCTGTCTCTTTGTGTTTTTCTCTCTGTCTTTTATAGCTTCTGAGTATCTGTCTTTCTGTCTCTTTTTCTGTTTCTTGCTGGCTCTGAGTACCTGTCTCTCTGTATTTCTGTCTCTCTGTGCCTCTTTGTCTCTGTCTCCCTCTGGCTCTGAGTATCTGCCTCTCTGTCTTTCTGTCTGTCTCTCTGTGTCTGTGTCTGTGTCTCTCTGTGTCTTTGTTTCTCTATCTGCCTCTCTCTGGCTCTGAGTATCTGTCTCTCTGTCTCCCTCTCCCTGCACGTTGCAAAGGACGCCTCCTCCTCTTCTCCCACCCTCTCCCTGGGTCCAGGCCACAAAGCAGAAAGAAGCAGGGATCCAGCCTGGGTACCCACAGGTGCCATGGACTGGTTGGTGCAGCAGGCGTGGGCGAGAGCTGGGCAGGGCCTCCTGTTGATGGGAAAAGAGGTCAAGTGGCCAGGATGGGTGGGTGGCTCCTGGCCTTTTGGGAAATGGGCGTTAGGTGGGGGAACCCGAAAGGCGGCTTTTCCCTCCTTAGCGCTGGGTTACCCGAGACTGCCTCCCTGGTGTCCTTTAGTGCCGGCTCTTCTGTTTGTCCCTGGCTCTCTCCATCTGTCTTCAACTGTGTCACCAGTCTCTGTCCTCACTAGGAGGTCAGAGCCAAACATGGATCTGCAGCATGCCACACTCAGACCTGCCCGTGCACACAGTGACTGGGATGCCAACTCTCGTTCCTTGAGGGCAAGAACTGGGCCTTCCTGCTCACATCTGTAATTCATACTTGTTCAGTGGAGGTTACAGAGTCCTGGAGGCTGGCTTCAGTGCACAGGGAAAAACAACCCCACCCCCCCAAAAAAAACCAACGAAACATCACAAATCTGAAGGTTGATTTTTCTTTTGGGAATTAATGTTTTGTGCATTCAAATGACTTCTAAGTTCAGCTTACAATCATTTTTATTCTAGTCATATCTTAATGGTCACATTAGTGGAGTCTTTATAATGTTTGGTCCTTTTTACAAACTGAGTTAAATGCCTTCAAACATTTTGTTTTTTAATAGATTTTTTTGGGGGGGTAGAGACAGGGTCCTACTCTGTCACCCAGGTTGGAGTGTAGTGGTGTAATCGTACCCCCCTATAGCCTCAAACTCCTAGGCTTAGGTGATCCTCCCACCTCAGCCTCCTGAATAGCTGGGACTACAGGCACACACCACCACACCCAGCTAATTTTTTTTTTTTTGTATTTTTTATAGAGATGGGGGCGGGCACACTATGTTGCCCAGGCTGGTCTTGAACTTCTGGCTTCAAGAGATCCTTTTGCCTCAGCCTCCTGAAATGCTGGGATTACAGGTGTGAACCAGTGCACTTGGTCTTTCTTTGATTTTTTGAGTCAGGATCTCACTCTGTCTCCCAAGCTGGAGTGCAGTGGCATGAACATGGCTTACTGCAGCTTCAACCTCTTGGGCTCAGGTGATCCACCCCCCTCAATCTCCAGAGTAGCTAGGACTGAAGGCACGCCATTATGCCCGGCTAATTTTTAAATTTTTTTTTTTTCGACCTCACTATACTGCCCAAGCTGGTCTCAAACTTCTGGACTCAACCAACCCTCTTGCCTTGGCCTCCCAAAGTGCTGGGATTATAAGTGTGAGCCACAGCTCCCGGTCTCCTTCAATCATTTAAACTACATTTCTTTTTTTTTTTTTTTTTTGGAGTTGGAGTCTCACTCTGTCACTCAAACTGGAGTGCAGAGGCCGCTCCCGGCCACCGCAGCCTCGACCTGCTGGGCTCCGGCAATCCTTCCGCCTCAGCCTTCCGAGTAGCCGGAATTACAAGCATGCGCTACCACGTCCGGCTGATTTTTTATTTATTGTAGAGATGAGGTCTCGCTGCCCAAGTGGGTCTTGAACCCGCGGGCTCAGGCAATCCACTCACCTCAGCCTCCCAAAGGCACGGGATTACAGGCTGAGCCACCGAGCTCGGCTTAAACTACATTTCTAAAACTAGCACTTTCAGTCTCTTCTGGAAGTCTTTCAGTGTTCAGGCATCATTTCCAAAGCATTTAAGTGAGTTGATACATTTAAGTATGTTACACTTACAAATATGATCAATATTGCATTCTTTCAAATATCCCAATACTGGACAGAAACTTGGTATTGCCCCATCTTGAAAATCACAGATTAATTACACATTTCAAGTTGAAGTTATAAGGCTGTCCCTATAATGGGTGACATTCTCTTAGACATATAAGCACTTGAAATACCAAAATGTGTAGAGATTCTGCTTTTAAAAAATTTCACACTGCAGGCTGGGCTTTTAAACATTTTTATGCTCGATTCCAAAACAAATCAGAATAACAAGAAGATTTCAGTCCAGAAGAGCAGGTAGGAACCCAAACTGTGGCACCAGCTCCTATCATTAAATCCTGGCTTGGTCACCTACCAGCTGTGAGACTTTGGTCACACCATGGAACCCCTCTGTGCCTCAGTTTCTCTAACTGCAAAATGGGAGCAATAATGATATCCACCTCACAGGCTTGATACAAGAATCAGATGAGTTAGTGTATGCAAAGCACTTAGAATATACCTGGTGTGTGTTAATAAGTATTTTAAAATATTATAAAAGGTCTGGGCCCACATTGATCAACCTTCTCCAGAAGTGACAAATGATAAATAGAGCTGTGAAATTCACCAGGGTCCCAGAGGAACGCAATCAATGACTGTCCAGCCCAAATCATAGTTGACTCATGCCTGTAATCCCAGCACTTTGGGAGGCTGAGGTGAGAGGATTGTTTGAGTCCAGGAGTTCAAGATCAGCCTGAGCAACATAGCGAGACCATGACTCTACAAAAAAATCAAAAGGAGGTCGAGACTGCGGTGAGCCGTGATCGTGCCACTGCATTCCGGTCTGGGCGACAGACTGAGACCTTAACTGAAAAAATGAAATAGATTATTATTGTTGTTATTATTCTTTTATCCATTAAGGAAGACAACAACTTTCTCTCAATGAACCGAAGTTGGTTTTGGTCTGGACAGTCATTGACTGGGTTCCTCCAGGACCCTGGTGAATTTCACGACTCTATTTATCATTTGTCACTTCTGGAGAAGGTTGGTCAATGTGGGCCCAGGCCATTCTAATGGCTTCATATTTCCACCTACTCTCACTGTCAACACTGCTGTGTCATGTCCCCATGATCAAGTGTTGCGTTTCTTTGATTCTTAAGACGAAGATCTTAAGTTCTTTCTTTTTATGTATGCATGTATTTATTTATTGTAGAGACGAGGTCTTGCTATGTTACCCAGGCTGGTCTTAAACTCTTAGACTCAGGCAATCCTCCCGCCTCAGCCTCCCAAAGTACTGGGATTATAAGCATGAGCCCATATTTTTAAAATCTTATTTATTTATTTAATTTGTCGGAGTCTCACTCTGTCGCCCAGGCTGGAGTGCAGTGGCACCCTCACGGCCACTGCAGACTTGATTTGCTGGGCTCAGGCCATCCTTCTGCTTTAGCCTCCCAAGTAGCTGGAACCACAGGCGTATGCCACCATGCCTGGCTAATGTTTTGATTTATTGCAGAGTCCAGGTCTTGCCAAGTTTCCCAGGCTAAAATCGAACCCTTGCGCTCAGGTAATCCTCTTGCCTCTGCCTCCCAAAGTGCTGGGATTACAGGCATGAGCCACCACGCCTGAATTTCTTTCTTTTTAATTTCAATTTTTAATTTTTTTGAGTTGGAGTCTCCCTCTGTCGCCTAGACTGGAGTGCAGTGGCACGTTCCCGGCCACCGCAACCTTGACCCTGCTGGTCTCTGGCGATCCTTCCGCCTCAACCTTCCAAATAACCAGAACTACAGGCATGTGCTACCACGCCTGGCTCATTTTTGATTGATTGTAGAGACAATTAGGTCTCACCAAGTTACCTGGGTGGGTCTCGAACCTGCGGGTTCAGGCAATCCACTTGCCTCGGCCTCCCAAAGTGCTGGGATGACAGGCTGAGCCACTGAGCCCAGCCAATTTTTATTTTTATTTTTTTTAAAGATCTTTCTAGTGCCCAGATCTGACCATGTCATTCCCTTTCTTGAGGTCCAGGTTCAAGTTTGAGTTCTTCTGCCTGACACTCGATGGTATCCTTCTCTGCTGACGACATTTCCAGTCATGTCTCCCACATCTTTCACCTCCAGTCTCAGCCTTGGCAGACCAGGACAATGTGTAGTTGTTCTCACATTCTCTGTCTTTCCCACATGCTGTTCCCTCTCAGGGAATGCTACTCACCAGGATGTCTCTGGATGGTGAGCTCCTGTCCGGTTCCTTCTCCAGCCCTCCCGGCCCCAGTCCCATCTCAGTCTTCATCTTCTTTGCCTGTGCTACTTCCTCTCCAGCTCCAGCCTCCAGTATCTCCCCTCTGGTTCACCCTGCATGTGTTCCCAGGGTTTCTTCTGCTCACAACCCTTCCATGGCTCCACTTCACCCTCAGGAGAAAGCCTCAACCTCTCAGGCTGGAGTCTGAGGCCCTTCGAGACCTGACCCCAGTTCTCCTCTCCCGTCTTACCTCTCGTCACCCTCACTCTCACAAGGTGGTCTCTCCACCCTCTCACCTCTCTGCTGTGGCTGCTATGAGGGGGAGAAAGCCAACTCTGAGGGCTGGAACAGGGTGGAGGTGTCAAGGAGGCATTGTCTTCCCTGGAAGGGAAAACATCAAATGGGGCTGTCAGGGGGAACTGAGAGTGTCTGGGTTTCAGAGAGAGGCAGAGGTGGGATCAAAGCCAAAGGCCCCACTCATAATAAAATTCACTCTTGACCCTGTCTCTGCAAATAAATAAATAAGTAAATACATAAGAAGGGTGTGGTGGGAGGGGCAGGGCCAGGAGTTCCAGCTACTTGGGAGGCTGAAGAAGAAGGATTGCCTAAGCCCAGGAGACTGCAGTGAGCTATGATCACACCACTGTACTCCATCCAGCCTGGGTGACAGAGCGAGATCCTGCCTCAAAACAAAGAAAGACAATTAAATATAAAATGTAATCTTTTTTTGTTTTGTTTTTGAGTTGGGGTCTCACTCTGTCGCCCAGGCTGGAGTGCAATGGCATGCTCATGGCTCAGTGTGGCTTTGGTCCCCTGGGCTCAGGCCATCTTTCTGCCCCAGCCTCTCATATAGCAGGGACTGCAGGTATGTGCCACCACACCTGACTAATATTTTCAACTTTTTTGTAGAGATGTGGTCTTGCTGTGTTGCCCAGGCTGATTCTCGAACTCCTGGGCCCAAGCAATCCTCCTGCCTCGGCCTCCCAAAGTGTTGGGATGACAGGTGTGAGCCACCACACCCAGCCAGAATGTACTCTTTGCTGAGCACATGGCGGACCAGCAGTGCTCTGTGCATTTTGCCTGCTCGACATCTTGACTTCTCCCGACAGCCACTGCCTGATATGGAATACCCAGCTGTAATCCTAATTTGACAGCTGAGACATGTGCACAGTGATGGACGGTCCTGCCCTGGGACGCATGGAGTGAGCGGTGCCTCTCCAGCAAGAAACCAGGCCAGTGGGACAGTCAGGGAGGAGGGAGGCTTGGAAGGGATTGTCCTGTCTTCTCCTAGCGCTGGGGGCAAGACCTTGGCCCAGCGACGCCAGGAGGGACGGGGTGGGGGGATGGGGGTGGGGGTGGTGGTGAGATCAGGGCGCATTTGTGTTTCTGTGTCACTGCCTTTATTAAGCATCAGGGTGAGGTCCGGGCAGCAGGGGAGGGAAGGCAGGTGTTGGTGAGAGACGTTCTGGAGCCAGCCAGTGAGGACGTAGGTCAAGAGCTGGGCGTCGCATGTCAGGATCCTTTGGACTGAATGGTTCTCCTGATCCAGCTGAAGTATCTGCAGACATTAGTGTAGACTCCTGGCTTCTCTTTTGAGCCACAGGGGATGTTACCCCATGAGACAAGGCCACGGAGGCGGTCTCCACACACAAGCGGACCCCCAGAATCACCCTGTGGGGGAGAGAGAAGGTCAGATACAGACAGAAATGGAGAGAGAGAGAGATAGAGAGAGAGAGAGAGAGAGAGAGAGAGAGAGAGAGACAGACAGACAGACAGAGAGAGGAAAGGTAGAGACATTAGAGATGGAGTGAAAGACTCCGGGGGAAGACAGGCAGAGAGACTACACAAGGACACAGACAGAAAAAGATGGAGAGAGACCAGAGGAGACTCACAGACAGACAGCAACACAGAGATAGAAACACTGGTGGGACACTGTAGTTTCAGCACTTTGGGAGGCCAAGGTGGGAGGATTGCTGGAGTCCAGGAGTTTGAGACCAGCTTGGACAACATAGTGACACCTCATCTCTACAAAAAATAAAAAAAAGTTAGCCGGACGTAGCGGCGCATATCTGCAGTCCCAGCTACTTGGGAGGCTGAGACAGAAGGATTGCAGAAGGTTGAGGCTGTGATGAGCTGTCACTGTGCCACTGCACTCCAGCCGGGGCAACACAGTGAGACCCCCAACTCAAGAAAGAGAGCAAGAGAGAGAGAGACAGAGACAGACACAGGAAGAGTCTGGCTGGGGAGAGAGGTGGGGAAGACAGAGACCCAGGGAAAGCCGTGGCTTGTGTTATCCCGATCTGTTCAGAGACATGTTCCTTGGCTGTGTTGGCCTCTCTCCTCTCAACTCTTGCCCTGAGGACAGTCTTGCCTGCTTGCCTTTTCTTTCCTTTAACTTGTTATATATCACTCTCTCTGTCTTCTCCCCCACCCTTGAGTGGTATCTGCATGTCCTTCAACGCATTCAAGTCACTTTGGCATAAAGAGAGACTGGATGGATGGTAGTGGGGGGAGCCCAAATTAAGGGCATTTGGGATGCAGCGCCCCCTGCCCAGCTTAGTCACTTCCAAGCAGGACTCTTGGGGGCTCTGTTTGAGGAAGGATGGTCCCCTTACCGTCTAACCCCCATCTGTCTCCTTTCTGTGTCTCTCTGATTCTTTTTTTGGAGTCTCACTCTGCTGTCCAGGCTGGAGTGCAGTGGCATGATCATGGCTCACTGCAGCCTTGACTTGAACCCAGGCGCTCCTTCTACCTCAGTCTCCCAAGTAGCTGGGATTACAGGCACACGCTACCATGCATGGTTGATTTTTAAAATGTTTTTTAGAGAGATGAGGTCTCGCTATGTGGCCCGGGCTGGTCTCGGACCCCTGGGCCCAAACGATCCTCCCACCTCAGCCTCCCAAAGTGCTGAGATGACAGGCATGAGCCACTGCTCCCAGCCCCTGTCCGATTCTCGATCTCTCCATCTCCACCCTCATCTCTGCTGTCCCCGTCTCTGCCGGCTGTGTCTTTATATCCCTGCATGTCCCTGGCGGTGTTTCTGTGTGTGGGACTGAGTCACTCTCCCCTTTCCTGCCTCTGGTTTCCCCCAGCCCGTCTCTGTCTTCCTGTCTCTGGCTGTGGTTTTGTGCCTCTGTCCTGCCTCTGGCCGTGTGACCCGCAGGACCCAGTGGCCTCACCTGGCAGGAATCCTTCCCGTGTTTCTCATCTCCGGCACACACCATGTTCTGGGTGATTTGGCCGGGGTAGGCGAGCTCACATTTCTCACGGGGCACGAGGTGGACGCGAGCACACTGGATGGTGTCAGGGAAGATACCTGCCGGAGAGAGATGGGCCAGGCTCACCCTGGTGCTTCCCATCCTCCAACCCCTAAAGCCATCCCCTCTTGATCCTTATTTTCCATTGGCTCCCCTCTTCCTGTTTGTCTCATCCGCTGAACCCATGTCCAACGACCTGTCTCCTGATTGGTCCCTCTTTCCGTCATTCTTCCCTCTCATTGGCCCATCTTCCTCATTAATCGTCTCTTCTCCATGAGTCCTCATTTCCTATTGGTCTTCCCTTTCTCTTAGGCCCTCCCTCCACTTGTCCCTCTTCCACTGGTCCCGCCTTCTTCAGTAGTTCTAGTCGACCTTTAGTCCTTTCTTTATTGTATCCCTCCTGCTCATTAGTCCATCCTTCATTAGACACTTCTTGCCCATTGCTTCATCCTGATTAGTCACCTCTTGGCCAGTGGTCTTTTCCTGATTGGCCCTGTCCTCCCACATTGACTCTCCCTTCTGGCTCTTCATTCATTTAATCTCCCTTCCTATTGGCCCTTCCTTTCATCCAACAATTCGCCTCCCTCATTGGTCCTTTTCTAACTGGCCCCACCTTCCTCCATTGCCTCTCCCTTCCTATTGGCTCTTCAGCCAATGGTCCACCTTTTTGATTGGCCCTTCACTCACAGACCCACCTTTAATGGTTCCTGCTGATCTATTGGACTTATTTCTTCCTCTAGTGACTCCTCTTGACCCTTTCCCACTTGGTCCCTCTCCCATGAACTCCACCCCATTTGCTCTCTCAATTCACGTCCTTCACTTGGCTCTTCTGCTTTACTGATCTCTCTTCTTCCATTCGGTCCTCCGCCATTATCGCTTCTTGCGCATCACTGCATCCTGATCGGTTCTCTTTGTCCACTGGCCTCCTTCCTGACCAGAACCTCCCCACTGACTTTCCCTCCTCATTGACCCTTCGCCTCATGGCCCGGCTCCTTCATGCCATTCACCACTGGCCAGCTTTCTCCATTGGCTGTTCACTCATCGGCCCAACTCCCAGATGTTCCCTCCCTCCCCGTTGACCTCTCCTTCACTGAGATACTACCCCATCGGTCCTCACCTTCAGCCCATCTTCCATGGCCCATCACCCGTCGTCCCACCCTTCATCCTCGGGCTCACCTCCCTCTTCGCCCCTAGCCTCCTCCCACCAGCCTCCCGCTACTGACCGTCTGCTGTCTTGCCCCAGCCCAGGATGTGGCAGCTGGTGTGGCTAGCTGAGCAGTCCCTCTCCAGGGGAAGGGGCTGGATGTGTTCAGATAATCTGGCTGGGCGTGCCAGGTGCAAGAGCATGATGTCCTGATCGTGGGTGGCAGGATCGTAGCCAGGGTGGGTCACAGCCTGAACAACAGAGCTCTGCTCCTGAAAGCTCTCCCTTTGCCGAAGGTTGTGCTTCCCCAAGTATACCTGAAGATTCCTGAGAAGGAGGAGGGCTGGGTCTTACCTGGAGGCCCCAACTCAGTGAGTATCAATTCCACCCTTTCTGAATAACCTTGGAAGACCTCTCCTTTCCTTTCCTCCCTCCCTTCCTTTCTCTCTCTTCCTTCTTTCCTTCCTCTTATCTGGAGCCCCAGTTCAGCAAATGCCAATTCCACCCTTTCTAAATAAAATATTCTATCCCCCCCTCTCTCCCTTGCCCCCCCCTTCTTTCTTTTCTTTTCCTGCAGTGGGCAGCCGTGAGGACCCACTCACGGTGGATGAGGACTCTCCCGCAGAGCAAGTGGCCCATGGTGTAGAGGGCGGCTTAGTAGGGGTGAGACTTCTGCTCACAGGACTTGCCCTGCACCACCTTGTTCTGTTCCTCAGCCTAGGCTGACAGGAGAGGGTCTGAGTCAGAGAGTAGGCCTGGAGACACCAGGCACATCCCCGCAGAGAGTCCCAGCCAAGAGCTTCTCCAGTCCCACCCCTAAACGTTCCCCAGACCTGCCATTTCTTTCTTTCTTTCTTTCTTTCTTTCTTTCTTTCTTTCTTTCTTTCTTTCTCTCTCTCTCTCTCTCTCTCTCTCTCTCTCTCTCTCTCTCTCTCTTTCTCTCTCTTTCTCTCTCTCTCTTTCTTTCTTCCCTTCCCTTCTCCTTCCTTCTTTCTCTCTCTTTCTCAAGTTGGTCTCATCCTATTGCTCAGGCTGGAGTGCAGTGTCATGATCACAGCTCACCATAGCCTTAACCTCCTGGGCTCAGGTGATCCTTCTGCCTCAGCCTCCTGAGTAACTGGAACTACAGGTGCACACCACCACATCCAGCATCCAGCTGCTTTTTTTTTTTCTTTTTGAGAGACGATGTCTCACTATGTTGCACAAGCTGGTTTTGAACTCCTGGCTCAAGCAGTCCTTCTTAGCCTTCCAAAATGCTGGGATTACAGGTGGGAGCCACCACACCCAGCCTCAGTCCCAAGGCTTTCAATACTCCCTATTTGCTGATGACACCTTCATTTACCTCCAGCTCTGTCCTCTCCTCTTAGCTCCAGAGGCCTCCCTGTTGGGACATCTCCCACGAATCTCAAACTCACCAAGGAGAAAATGAAATGTCAGATGCTCCCTGCCCCATGCCTAGCCTGTTTTCTCTTTCTTTCTTCCCTGACTCAGAAAGAGATATGACAAAACATCCAGTTATTCAGGGTGAACACCTAGAGGTCAGGCCTTCTTCCTCCCTTTCCCTCCTGTTCCTCATTGCCAAGTCCTGTTGAGACAGATTTTTTTTTAAAAGTAAGAGTCTCACTCTGTCACCCAGGCTGGAGTGCAGTGGCACGATCACGACTCACTGCAGCCTCAACCTCCTGGGCTCAGGCAATCCTTCTGCCTCAGCCTCCCAGTAGTTTTAGCTGGGACTACAAGAGTGCATCACCATGCCCAACTAATGTTTTGGAGAGATGAAGTCTCAGTATGTTGCTCGGGCTAGTCTTGAACTCCTGGGGTCAAGCAACCCTCCTGCCTTGGCCTCCCAAAGTGCTGGGATTACAAGTGTGAGTCACTGCACATGGCTGAGACCCAGTCTCAAATACCTCCCAAGGTGTTCAACATCCCTCCATCCCCACTGCCACCACCTGGTCCAGGTCACCCTCCTATGTCACCAAAGGAAGGACATCAACAGCCCCCAAGTGGTCCTCCCTTCCTCTTCTCTTGCCCAGTCTACTTTCCATGTGGCAGCCAGGGTGCTGTGAAAAATACAAGTCAGATCATGCTGCTTCCCTGATCAAGATGGCCCTGTGGCTTCCTCCTGCACTTAGAATTAAACCCAAAGGCCCCCATCATGCCCTTCTGATTCTCCCATCAGAAGGTAAGTCCGGCCAGGCGCGGTGGCTCACGCCTATAATCCCAGCACTTTGGGAGGCCAAGGTGGGAGGATTGCTTGAGGCTCAGAGTTCAAAACCAGCCTGGGCAACATAGCAAGACCTCATCACTACAAAAATGAAAATATTCACTAGGCGTCATGGGCACATGCCTGTAGTTTCAGCTATTCTGGAGGCTGAGACAAGAGAATTGCCTGAGCCCAGGAGGTCGAGGCTGCAGTTAGCCATTGTTGTGCCACTGCACTCCAGCCTGAGCCATAGAGTGAGACCCCAACTCAAAAAAAAAAAGACAGTCATTTTGCTTAAAAAAAAAAATCACTACATGCAGAGGTCTGGCGCCTGTTTAGAACTTGATTAAACTTTGCTCAAATGAGCCTGGTGGCCAGCAGGCCTCAAGCTGGGATGGGGGGGTGATGTATGTGTCACCACCTGCCTGACATCTACAAGACACCTCGCGCCCTCCCATGTCCACTCCTTGTGCCCGGGAGACTCACTGTTTCCTGCAGTGGGCAGCGGTGAGGACCCATTCGCGGTGGATGAGGACTCCGCCACAGAGCAAGTGGCCCGCGGTGTAGAGGGCAGCTTGGTAGGGGTGAGAATTCTCACAGGGTTCGCCCTGCACCACCTTGTTCTGCTCCTGGGCCCAGGCTGACAGGAGAGGGTCCGAGTCAGAGAGTAGACCTGGAGACACCAGGCATATCCCCCACGGAGACCCCCAGTCAGGAGCCTCTCCAGTCCCACCCCCAGATGTTCCCTGGACCCACCGGGAGCCTGACTCACTCCCCAGCCTTTCCAGAGTTTTTTTTTTTTTTTAGTTGGGTTCTCACTCTGTTGCCTAGGCCGGAGTGCAGTGACACAATCACAGCTCACTGCAGCCTTGACCTCCTGGACTTAGGTGATCCTTCCACCTGAGCCTCCCAAGTAGCCAGGACTTTAGGCGCACAACCACCATGCCCATCAAATTTTTTTGATTTTTTTTTTTTTGTAGAGACAAGGTCTCACCAAGTTGCTCAGGCTGGTCTCAAACTCCTGGACTCAAGAAATCCTCACACCTCGGCTTCCCATAGTGCTGGGATTACAGACGTGAGCCATGGCACCTGGCCTCTCCCCAATTTTCAAACTTATTTTCTTCCTTTTCTCCACCTAGATCATCCCTAAGACCAACCCCAGCCCTAAACTCTACCTACCAACCTACCTCCCACCACCTTCCCCATACCTATTTTTTTTTTTTTTTGAGTT